TTTTTACCTTCATTAGCATTTTCAATCATTAATTAATTTTTTTTCCTTCCATCATAGTTGCATTTCAAACATTAATTATTTTTTTCTACCAATAATAACTCTTTCACACAGCGATCATTTTGCCTTTCTCAATGCATGTGAAGATTCAAAGCAAGGACTCTCCTCTCTGGAAGCTGCTTTTACGGGTTAGGAAGACCGTGTTAACAAGAGATTCTTTATGCATAAGTAGAATTAGAGTAAATTACAATTTTAGTCTGGTATGTTTCACTAATATAACTTTTTTCATTCTTTTTGTGTTTTTTATTTTCGTCCCGTATGTTTTGAAGGTTACAAAAATGTCATTTTGGCAACAAAAAGGTCATTTATGTTTTGCAAAAAAGTGTTTCAATTTCGTCGCTTATGTATAAAAAGGATCTTTGTGTAACCTTTTTTTTCAAACATACAGGACGAAAATAAAAACGCAATTCGAAAAGGACGAAAAAGTTAAAGTAGTGAAACATACAAGATTAAAATTATAATTTACTCTTTTACTTATATATACATAAATATTAAATATAGGTATGCATACTCTTACATGAATAAGTTTAACCGAAACCTCTATTTACATGTAGCGTATTACATGTGAAAGTATGTACACCGTTGTACATATATAATTTATGCATATTGCCCATTTTTCTCCAACTTTTATTTTCACTTGCTTTCCAATTATATAAGATGTTTGTGTTTGTCTACTTGTATTGGGATACTATCGAACAGTAGTCGACTTACCACAAGCTGTCTCGGAGAAAGCTTGTGTCTCTGATAACATGGACTGGTTACTTTTCACGGGCAGGAAGACTGTGACATGCAGACAATATATGGGCATAACACAGAACCTTGTGCTTTTCACGGTGCAGAAGAACTTGGACATGCAGCTAATATATGGACATAACTCAGAACCTTATCATGGACCGGGACAAAATTTAACAATTGAAATCACCTACCATAGGAAAGCACTGTAAGAACCGGCGTTGTGACAGGAGGAAGGTCGAGAGGTCGGGTGTTGAAAATTTTAATCGAAGACAACCAGATAAATTAATTTAATTAGTAAAAGAAAGAGAATGAGAAAATGGCAATAAATAAAAAGTTTCTGATTAACAAAAATAAAAAATTTAGATAACATTTTTTACTAGGTTTACTATTATCTAATCAACTCTTGATGGTAGTTAGCTCTCAACATTCTGGTGGAAATTATAATGGAGATTTCGTTAAGTTTAATTTTAGAATTAAATATTAAAATGAAGATATATTGAAAAATCTTTAATTTTTGAGGACAAAATTATTTTTCACTCATAAGAGATTTTTTTAGACGACAAAATACGATTAAATTAAACTTAAAAAGGTTACAAACGTATCCAACTGGCTGCAAGGATCTATAATAATTGTCAAGTGAGACCATAAGGGAGTCACTTTAAAGTAACAGTTCCCCGTCTACATGAAACATTCGTACAAAAAACTCCCAATCAAGACAAAAAAACTACATAAAAAAGACTAAACTGCTCTTTAAAAGAGACTAAAATACTCCACAAAGAGAAACTAACAATTAAAAAACAGTAAAACAAAAAATAAACAACAAAATAGAAAAAAATCTAAACTATCTATAATGTAAAGCTCTATCCGGCTACCAACAAGCTTCACCAATGCCACCACCCGAGCCAACAAATCAAAGCTGGTCGCACAGAGAGAACATACCACACCCAAAAGCAGCAGATAAAAAAAATTCTAAACTTTAAAACGACTAAGACTAACTAGATTTGACACATTCAAACATGATCTATCCTATAACGAAATGGACCACTGCTGAACAAGACTTGTCGGCTGAAGACCATCTACCCCCACTTCCAAAACGCCAGAAATCGCGACAAGATCCTCTCAAAGAAGGGAGGAGCCTTACTGGAGACCAAACAAACCTTACATCACGGTTCGGGCAGAGGGGAGGGGGAAAGTGGCTTCGGCCCTAGCGTCGGACGCCTCGAGGCTGGCAAAAAATCCCGCGGCGTCGAGGAGGGTAGGCGGTCTGAGAGTTTTGTTACAAGTGCGGGAGAGGAAAAAGAAGAGGAGGAAAGAGGAGAGCTTTTGCCGGTGGAAGCTATGTTGGAAAGGGGTGGAAGCTATGTTGGAAAGGAGCTTTTAAGGAGAGAGAAAATTGGGATTTTTTTTTAAGGAGAGAGAAAATACCTAAATTATTTGGTTGTTCTATATTACCTAAAAAATGAATTTTCCTTCTGGTCCCACTAAAATGAAGCACACCATAAGCGGGGAAAGCCCATATGAAGCCCAACTGAGGTTACATCCCGAAACCAATTGGTGGAAAGAGGAGTAGTCCATTAGACTTATAAGGTGTGTCTATTTTCCATGTATGAACGATGTGGGACAACTCACAAGTGATATTTTAACATGCCCCCTCACTTGTGAGTTCTTAATAAGAAAGCTCAAGCCTATATACGGAGCTGGGTGCCCCAAGCCTACTAGAAGTAGGCTCCTATAAACTGGTACGTGGAGAAAAACGGGTACGTCATCGCACGGTCCCATAGAACCGACTCTGATAGTATGAAAGAAACTGGGAAAAAACAGGTGCGGTCCCACTATCAAGAAGCGCACCATAAGCGGGGAAAGCTCATATGAAGCCAAAGTGGGGTTCTATCCCAAAACCAATTGGTAGAAGGAGAGGTAGCCCATTAGACTTATAAAATGAGTCTATTTTCCATGTATGAACGATGTGGGACAACTCACAAGTGATATTCTAATACAGATGTAGCAATGAAAGTGTGTTGGCGCCTTTGATTCAATGGCGATGCGTTGTAGAAATTTGGAATCGATATTTTCTTGCACATTGCCAGCGTGTGTGTAAAATAGTTAAAAGAAAGGGTCATAGTTCTTTCAATTCTCAAATCTTCTAAAAACCTTACGACAAAAAATTCAAATCTGAAGAAAGTGTTCCCTCTCATCTCCATGCAACTCCCATCCATAGGCTGTCACTGGCAGATCCATGCTTTCTGCCTTCTCCTCCTTATCGTCTGGTGTCTCTGTCATGTTCTCGTGCATGAGGACTGATCTTCAATTCCGTGCTCATGCCCTTCGTCGGAGGGCTACCAAATTTTTTGGTATTGGTAGTTGAAGGCAACAGACATTCAGGGGAAGTTATTGCAAATCTCATAAGTGTCGGATCTCGAGTTTAATTAGCCAATTGAGTGCATTCGGAGTCTTCAAATCTTGGTGGCTAGATTGCTGTGCTTTTCTGTCTTGAGTTATTGTTCTCAAGTTTATGGTTTCTAGTTGCGGTAGCAATTGTGAGCTATCCAGGAGTTTTTATTCTATTATTGAGTTATAACTTTAGTATTATGTTTTGTTTTTGATGTAATGTTTTCTTTTAGTGTCAGTTAGTCTCCCTTGTAGGGGTGTTTTTCTTCCGTTTGGGAGTGTGAGTCTCCCGTATGGGAGTTTTTTTTTTGTGTATTTAGGTTGGATGATTATCGTCTTCCTAGATTCAACTTGATTAGTTGGTTAATTCAGTTGATTTAGCTGAAATCTAGTATGTAACTTTTTTTTTAGTAATATATTATATTGAATTGAGAAAAATAAAAAAGAAGAAAGGGACAGTCAGAGTGATCTATTGAGCTTTTCACTCTTTGCGAATGTGTATCATTTTAGTGGATGAATGACATGTGTACATGGTGATATCTTATTTACAAATGTTTTTGTCCAATAAAATGGAATATAAGTGAAGCATGGAAGTGGAATAAAAGTTTTGATCCCTAAAAATTATATTTTTAATCTTTCTAATATTATCTTAAAAAGCTGGAAAGGATGTTGTGCACTTTGTTTTTAGATTTTTTGTAAAAACCAATTAAGTACTGTAATTTATGAAAAAAACACCAATCTTGAAATTACTTTCCTGATCAATCCGTAGATACTTTTTTTTTTCTTGTTATACTCCATAGTCAAAGAATAAAGCCAAAATAATTGGTCCGCTTTAAAGTTAAAAAATACGATTTTGTTCCAATATCTATAGGCTGAAGGAAGAGTACTTTTTTTTTTTTTTTTTATCATAGAAATACACGTTTCTTTCAAGAATGCCATAAGTTGTAAAATTTAATGCAATACCTAGTTCTTTATGTTTAGTACCTGAAGTTATTCTGAGAGTACCGCTCCTCTTAAAATAGTATCAGAGCCTAAGTTTTATTAAGAACTCTTAGATGAATTTATTACATGGTAATTAAATTTTGGTAATGGTAATTGGTAAATATAAAAAAGAATAGATGTTGAAAATTGTTCAGAATGTGTAAACTATATTATATATATGCAAATTCTGAAGATGTATGAACAAGAACACCAAGAGTATGTTACTCATTGGGATAATAGATATGCTGAACAACCATTGACAGAGTGCATAAAACAACTCTAACACTTTGTCAAAAGTAAAGTATTATATGGATAACTTTGCAAGATTAGTATTAGTAGATCTAAAAATGAACTCGAGAGATAAGTCACACCTATGGCTCTCTGGCCAACGTTGCCTTTATATCGCACCTATGACCCCCGAGCTCATCTGCTTGGAGTTCTGCCACCCTGTGTATTTTAAATACCAAGCTTATGAGCTCGACTTTTACTTATTATCATAGCACCACAATAACATCGTACCAACAATATACAATCAATCGATACTTCTGGAAAAATAATCCCACGAGACTTATCATAACAATTGAACTTCATCACTATAAAAGAGTATGGATTAACTTATGTACCTAGGGCACAGAACTTCTCGTCGAGCATTTATGACCTATGTACTAGGGCGCTAATTTTATCCTCGAGCCAACTTCTCCATGAAAACAATCGGGCTACAACAAAACTCCTCGAGTACTTATAATCTTTCCATGTACAACTTTTCGAGCTCGAGGTAACTTTTCAGTTTCTTCCGATCTTTCTCGTAAAAAGTCATGTCTTTCCAACCTTGCTTTGAAAATGACTGTGGCGTGACACACCTCACCATGTCTTTTCGTTCTTTCTATGCAAAATAATGTTGCTCGCAACGACTCGCGGGGTCTCTCGACCTATCGTAGTAAACCCTTGGAGCTTGCAATAACTCATCGGTCCCTCCCGACCCATTCACGTAAATATTCAAGATTTAAAAATACCTCATCAAGTCATCCCAATCCTCTACGTAAGTAAGCCAACTTAGAAGTACTTTATTGGGTCCTCAGATCTCTTCTCGTAAAATCGTAGAGCTCTAAACGATTCATCTAGTTCTCCCGACTTCTTCTTGTCAAATGTCGAAGCCTGATATACTTCGTCAGGCTCTCCTAATCTCGATTAGTAAATAATCGATGAACTAAATTTCTCATTAGGCCTTCCCGGGATGACCTTGGTCGATTCCCAACAAAATGTTGATTTCAAGAGCATGTCGCTGTTGGCTATCTGAGATTTTCCATGAAAAACCATCTCTCCGATCCACGAGACCTAACAATGCAAGTGGCAATCAATCTTAGAGCAATTGATTTGGTATAGTTATTGATAAAATCAAATGATATTTGTAAACTCATTCAATATATGATTTTTAGTATTTGGCTCGTTACGAAATGAATAGAAAATTAAGAGATTTGTCATTAATGTTGAGATATCAATTCTATTATAATATTGTCGTATATATATATATATAAATAAAATTTTTGCAATTGATTTCAAAATTTATTTTGTACTTATACTTTGCAATATTCTCACGCATATTTTGATTTACATATGGTTGGATACCCAACAAAATGGGTGAATGTATGTTTTGTTATTAAAGATAAAGATTGGTCTGTTATTAAAGATAAATATTTAAATTCATTTCTTTTGATATTTTGAAAAATTAGGTTTATAATTTTTGAAAAAATGGAACAGTTGAGTTATTGATAAATAAAAGGAATCTAAACTAATACTCTCGGTTAAATGATTTTTTGAAGATACAATAAAAAACTATTTAGGTATATAGTTGGTTACCAAATGAATAAGAAATCACTGTGATTTGTTATTAATGTTGATAAATAAGATTCAATTGTAACATTGTGATAAATATCATAATAAAATTTTCATAATTGATTCTCAATTTTATTTTGCAATAAAAAATTATTGTGATTTGTTAATAATGTTGATAAATAAGATTCAATTTTAACATTGTGATAAATATCATAATAAAATTTTCATAATTGATTTTCAATTTTATATTTGAAATCAATCTTATCGTGCGTATTCTAATAGTATTTTCTAAAACGTAATATATTTAATATACATTTTTTGAAGACATGCCGTATGGTTGGTTACCAAAAGAATAAGAAATTGCAATGATTCATAATTAGTATGAAGAAATCGATATTTTATTGCGATAATTATCATAAAATAATATGTAGAACTGATACCACTTTATTTGTATAGAAAGTCGTGCTATTAATCGGATTGCATGATTTACAACAAGTAGGTATAATTTAATTTTTATATTTTTTTTACAAATATTAAAGTGATTTTTACTATATTTTCTTAAATAGTAAGTCAACCTATTTAATTACAAATTCAAAGTTACTATTTTGGATTATTCCATCAACCTATTTCAACATATTGATTTAAATGAAACAACATCCTAAAGCCTTTTCAATTAATGATATTTTTTTTATTAATTTGAATATGAAGATTAATTGTTCTATTTTATATTAACTAATTGTAATGATATTTTTTTAACTATTGTCTCATAATTACTACTAATATAACTAATTATAAATTGACATAAAAGATTTTTTCTTCAAATTATTTAATTTAAACTTAATATTATCTTTTTATTTTTATCTTTGTAAGAGACTTTGTAAATAGCTAATTGATTTTATGGCATAAAAAATCCTTAAAATTGCCTAAATAATAGCTATAATAACAATTTAATATTTTTTTTTTTAATTTATTAATCGAACATAATCCCTTTTATTTGTAAAACATTACATTATTTATTACATTTTATTAAGACTATATTGTGATTCTTATATACGTAATATATTTATAATTATATTGTTCATTTTTATTATTGATCTAATTTATAAAATGTAATATGATCATTATATACCTTATAAATATAAATATATTATTTGTCCATACCATTTATAATATTTTATTTTTATACATGTGGACAAAATCTAGTAGTAGTGTGATTTTTTTTTTATTATTTTTTTTTTTTTTATTTATAAGCCCATGAGTATTAAATTTGTGTAAAACTAGGAACACTCTTTCTCAAAATTTTCTAGAACACTTTAAATATATTTGATTATAGATTACGACTTTGATTTTGCATATTACTTAATTTCACAAACTATTCAATTACGAAAATCATAGTAATACCTACAATCTAACCATGGAATATTATAATTAACACAATTGTACCAACTTCAAATTGTGGTAACATAATATAACAACTTTATGAAAATTAAAAGCTCAATATATGAATGAAATTTTCCTTTTATTTCTTAATTGCAAAAATCTCATCACTGAAAATCGGGGAAAAAAAATAAATAGAAAAAGCTATCTCAAAATTATTGTCTCCAACCACCTATAAATTCAATACCTAGCCTCCTCCATTTTTTGCCAAACACAATCAATTCTCATCATCAATATCATCTTCTTCATCTCTCAAAAATGACCAAGACAAAGGGTACTGCCGGAGTTACTTTTGCGTGCCTGGCGGCAGCCGTGCTTGTCCTGGCGGCGCTTGTCCACGAGGCAGCGGCCGTGACTTGCGACCCGATGCAGCTCAGCCCTTGCCTAGATGCCATAACCGGGGGCGGCCCCCCATCGGCCGAGTGTTGCAACAGGGTGAAAGAGCAAGTGCCGTGCTTATGTGACTACCTAAAAAACCCGATTTTCAAACCTTATATTCCCGGGGCCAAGAGGATCCTCGCAGCTTGTAAGATTGCCGCCCCAAAGTGCGACTAATCTTGAGTCGAAATAAAACGTGATCCTATCTATCTATACTTAAATGAGAGTGTAGTAGAGATTGTTGTGTTGCATGTGTCCATGTAACAAATTTTTGTGTTGTCTTGAAATAAAATTGATCATCATCATCGTCGTATGTGATGTGATTTTGGTCTTGGCATCTCTCTAGCTCTCATGTTAATTTCAAAATATTCTTTTGAAGTACTTACTCTTATTATTTTGACAAATTCTTCTTTTTACCAATACCGGACCTAACGATCGATCGATTGGAGGACAATAAATCAAGAGAATTAACCAGATTTTTATAAGTATCGGTCGGTCGATCCGACAAATTTTGTTAGACAAACTACTTTATGATGGAATTAACCTTATGCGAAGAGGATCGCTTTATTTCAAGAGAATTCATATCGAATAATTGTAAACCATAATTGAATAGCGAAAGTGCACCTAATTGATTCGTCTAGATTGATTCACTTGAAACTCAAATTTGGGATTTGGAGAACTTCCAAAAGGCCGTGAATTATTTTCTTCTCTTCTGGCACGTAACGAAGAAACTTATAAAGAGAAGGGGGTTACAGTTTCTTCTTATTATATCTTAATGAAAAATTCCAAAGGCGCATTTTAATTATCACAATTTTTGTTGACTCCACTCATTATTAATTTTGACCCAAATTGTTTGCTAATTAGGTCACCTAAATTTAATATACTAATTATTTGTTATGTCATCAAATAATAATATTACCGGATGTTCATATTTAGACGCCCACAATTTAAATTAAGTTTATTAGCTAAGATTTCGGGATATTTTTAAAATTGATCCTATAATTTGGCCACAGTCCAAAAAACCACCCTATATTGACACTATCAAAATTGGTCCTATAATTTCAAAATTTAATCAAATTTGGTCCTTTTATAATCAAATTTGGTCCTTTTTTAATCACATTTTAATCCATGTTCCGGATAAAAAGGACGAAATTTGATTAAATTTTGAAATTATATGACCAATTTTGATAGTGGTCAATATAAGGGTGATTTTTTGGACTGTGACCAAATTATAGGACCAATTTTGAAATTATACCCCAAGATTTCTATACAATAATTTGATCACTAAATTTAGTTAAACAACATAATGACACAATGTAACAATTACACATATTTAATCCTAAAATAGATATAACAATCTCCGAGTGGATTAAATATGTGTCATGATAATACATTATACCTTATGAGCTCAATGGTCATTATTATAGAATTTGAACAATTTGGTCAATTAATCACAATAATATAGGATTAAAGCAATTTTCGCCATATATACACAAATAAACTATCGGTAATCAGGTATATTATCATGGTTAAATGGCATACATCAAACTGTAGAATATGTGGCACATGAGAATTACATGAATGTGATCCTCACATGTCAATTATCAATTACTCCAAAATCAATGAGGTCGTAGAGTATCAAAACATAATACACAAAATATCATGAACTAAAATTTTATTTCTGATCAGAATAAACACATTATATATCATCAAATAAAAATGACAAGAATGCAGCACATACTCTCATTAGAGTGGAGCTTCCTCAGTATGTAACACACTCATATGAGCAGTATGTTCGTGAAATACTATGGTGTTACACCCTTACTAGGGAATCTACTAACATAGATCTTGTCCTTAAGTGTTCGATTGTAATTTTGACCACTTGTACCCTCTCCCTCACATCTAGGAACTTAAGGTCAATATGCTTTTACTTGGACAAGCTCTTACTATTGTTGGAGTATATGAACAATTGATTTATTGTGACAAAGCACTTGTACCCTCAGTTGTGCATTTTTTTTCCAATTTCTTTATTTTTTTCATGTACATCTCCTTCTCTTCAAGTTCAGTTTCAGATTCGACATTTTGGCAATTTGTTTCAGCTTCTAACCAGTTTATTTTACACAATAAATCGAGGATTATTTCTTTTGATCTTGCACACACCTGAGAGTCAAACCAATTCTAAAAGCGACAACCATTTTGGCCACAATCCAAGTACCTCCTTCATGGTTTGATATTGTACCTCCTTCCTGGTTTGGCAGGTGTTAGTGTTATTTTTGTTATGTTTTTATTAATGTTTTTTATTATTAATTTTATGTATTTTTAATAATTTTGTGGGATTTTGGGTAGTTTTTAGTTTTTTAAGTGATTTGTAATATTTAAGTATTTGTGTGGATTTTTGTATATTTTTCTTGTATTTTTCAAGTATTTGTAAAATAAAGAAACGGCCGAAAATCTCGGAAGAGCAGGATTTTGGAAAATTATTGGATATGATCACACTAATGGAAAGATGGTCTCGTTAGCGACATACAGAAAAAAGCGGAACTCGATTTCGAGTTCGGATGAATTCGTACGGGACCGAAGTATAAAATCGCGCAAGTCACCAACCCTTTAAAGGTTGAAAATTCCACATAATTTGTACTAT